AAATAAACTTTATTCCAGAGATGGTTCAATAAACATAAGTCAATAAACCTAATAAATCATGTAAGTCAACATAAAGACAAATACCACATGATCAACTCAATAGTTGCAAAAAAACTTGAAAAGAATCCAATATATATTCATGATAATAGTCCTAGAGGAAATCGGACTAGAGAGAACATACCTCAAAATAATTAAGGCAGTATACAACAAACCCACAGTCAACATCATTCTAAATGGAGAAAAACTCAAACTATCACCACAAAAAACCAGTAATCAGATAAGGCTGTATACTATCCCCACTCATTTTCAATATACTACTAGAAAGCCTAAGTAGAGCAGTAAGACAAGAGAAAGGAATTAAAAGGGTATAAATTGGAAAAGAAGAAACCAAATTATCCCTAATTGCAGATGATATCATACATAAGAGATCCCAAAAATTCCACCAGAAAACTTCTAGAAATGATTAATATATGTGCATAAGTGGCAGGACAAAAAAATCAATTTATGAAAATTACTAGCCTTTTTTACACCAATAACAAGTAGTCAGAGAAAGAAATCATAGAAACAATCCCATTCACAATAGCCTTAAAAAAATCTAAAAATAAAACTAACCAAAAGACATTAAAGACCTCTACAAGGAAAACTGAAAGAGATTAAAAAAGACACTACAGGATGGAAAGATGTCATGTGCTCACAGATTGGTAGAATTAGTATTGGCAGGGAGGAGAGGAGGGAGGGATAAACAAGAGACTATGGTGTTGGGGAGGAAGGGAAGTCAGGGGAGGTAAGGTGACAGGAGTCCAGAGGTACTGGGGTAAGGATGGGGACAATGGGGGCAATGTGACTAAGGAGGGAGGGAGGAGGGAAGCCGGATGGGAGACAAAAAGAGTGGAAATGAGTGAAACTTGAGGACTAGGAAACCTAGAGAGGGAAAGTGATGCCCTAGAAACCCTATGAGATATGCACACAGAGTGTCTTAACATTAATGCATATGTACACCTGGGAGCTGCTTGGCAGGGAATGCAGTGCCAGACAGAAGAGACCTCCCTTAGAGTGACAAGCATGCCATACAGAACCGATCAAAGAAACTTCTTTCTGCAGCAGATGGAGGCTACTCCAGAGTTGCACATCTGGTCAGAGAACATACATCTCAGAGATGATCGGTACTAGGTGACACATCTGACACATCTGCAGTTGAATCTCTACAACTAAGGTTCATGGAACACAGTTGAATCAGGAGCAGAGAAAGGACTAATGCACTCCTCAACTTTCACCAGTGAGGCTTCCATGTACAACAGAGTGCAATGCACACAGAAGGCCACAATTGGCCAATTTTTGGAGAATAGGAGATTGGAGAGTGTAGAACTGTGACACCTATGTGGAACCTCACCCACCCATTGATCAGGGACCATTGTGGAAGAGGAGGCAGAAAAGATTGTAAGAGCCAGGGCTGGTCCATGAACACAGAAAGATGGAGGCTTCCAGGCCACGGAGGCTTGCATATGTGAGCCTGTGGCAGCAGTGGCATTGAGCACAGGACCCATGTCAGCTCAGTTAAGCAAGAGTCCAAAGGAGAGGTGAGAAATAGGTGGCGGGCCAGCACTAGATTGAGAAGCATTTGAGACTGGATGCTGCTGGGTTAAGAAGAATATGACTTACATACAACCACTGGACGGGCTGATCAGACACCAGTGGACACATTTACACTAAAGGACATTTGGGAACAACACCTGAATGAACCGGACTCAGCATGTATGGCAGAGTGCATAGGGTTTAGTGCATAGGGGAGGCATGGATCAGGGAGAGGGTCTGGATTTAAGTGGGAAGTGTATGAAATTTAACAAGCTAAATATTTTTTTTTTAAAAAAGCAATTTACAGATTCAAGGCAAACCTAACCAAAATTTCCATGACATTTCTATTTCACAGAAATAGAAAAAAAAATTCTAAACTTCATATGAAAACAAAAAAGACCCCATATACTGAAAGAAATCTTGAGTAAAACAGAGCAATTCTGGAGGGAACACCATACTGGATTTCATCCTATATTATAGAGCTACTCTAAAACGACACTGTATTGGCACAAAAACACACATGTAGATCAATGGAACTAAAGAGAAGACCCAAACAAGAGTGCATACGATTTCAGTCACCTGATATTTGACAAAGATGTCAAGAACACACAACAGAGGGAACATATTGAACAAAAGGTGCTGGGAAAAATGGATGTCTGCTTTTATATAAATGAATATCCATATATATATACATATTTATATAACGCAGCTCTGTATAGGCAACACCTAATAAAGAAGAGGACAAGAGGAAGTGGGGGACATGGCAGGAGTTGATGGGACTGGGAGGGATGGAAATAGTGCAAAGACAATGCTCATATGAAATTCTCAAAAATAAAAACAAATCAGAAGCAAAAACAGTAGTTTGTTAAAAAGATAAACCAAGAAAGGCTTTTTAAATTTGAAAAAAGAAAGCATGCTTGTTAAAGTGAACTACTAATATATTTACTATACTAATTATGTCTAAGTGAAGAAAAAATAAAACTAAGAGAACCCAAGCCACTTTGTTTATTAACTTGACAGACCTCCTCAGGTTCGACATTTTGTCATAAAGCATCTGCTGTGGCAGTCAGGTTCAATGTCAGTTACTTCGCCAATACAGCAGACAAGAATCAAGAATATAATGAGATTATTTACATTTGACAACCTCTAATTCTACCAATTGCCTATAGAAAGTTATAAATTACATGAAACAATAATACACTATAATTAATAATATAATACACTATAATTCTCCTTTAAGTTGTAAAAATTACACTTATTAACATCTCCCTTGATTGTTTAAACTGTTTTTAAGGAAGAACTATGTTTTTCTCATCAATTTGTTGCTCCAACAGAGTAAATTTGCTAAATAAATAAATACAAAGGAACATCATAAATACAAATTAATTTATTGTGGATAATATCATCTTATGTATTTTTTATCAAACACCAGGAAAAAAAACAACTGAAATAAATTTAGTAGGGACTCCCTTGATTGTTTAAACTGTTTTTAAGGAAGAACTATGTTTTTCTCATCAATTTGTTGCTCCAACAGAGTAAATTTGCTAAATAAATAAATACAAAGGAACATCATAAATACAAATTAATTTATTGTGGATAATATCATCTTATGTATTTTTTATCAAACACCAGGAAAAAAAACAACTGAAATAAATTTAGTAGGGAAGAAAAAAGACTACTAGACTAATATAAACAGGGGTATTAAAGGCATAATACAATTTACCTTATTCAATTAGAAACCGTCAATAAAAAAATTCTGGAAGTTAATAAACAAATATGCTATTTGCCTATTTACCATTACTAGAAGGAATCAAACTAAAGAATGTTACATTTAAGTAATATTTAATTATCAAATATTTAGTAATAGCATAAGAGAGCTATTAAAACAAGAAAGCTACATTCAAATTCTAGCTAAGCATTGCCCTACTGTAACTTTAGACAAGTGACAATCATGAAGGAGTAGTAACAGCATCTCTCACTGGTTCATTCTGAGGCAACGCTAAAGAACACAAATGAAGCACTTAGACTACTGTACTGGTAACATGCATTCCATGTTGGCATTGACCATGATGTAACCATGACAACACTATCTGTGGCAACTAGCATGCTTATGCCCAAATCCAACCCTCTGTATACCTAGTAGGCTTTGCTGATGAGCACCATGACACATCTGCTCGTGTTGTCTTAACACAGTAGGTGGCTTAAACAAAAAGAGTTTATTTTCTCATACTTGAGGGGATTAAAATCTAAGATCACTGTAAATGGCAGGGCTGGATTTCTGGAGAAGTTTCTCTTACTGGGTTACTAGTGACCACCCTTTGGCCTACTTGACCTTTGTCTTTGAGCACACACATTCCTGATATTTCTTTCTCATCTTTGTGAACTTATTTACCTTTTTAATACTATCTCACCTATGGTCACACTGTGATTTATGATTTCAACACTGGCCTCTATGCTAGAGATTCAGTATGAAACAGACAGGAAACACTTTTAAGTAAATATACATATTAAAGATAAAATTTTGTCTGCCACAGTAGAGAAATAACAAGCAGGTAAGAAGGATCAGTGGGTAAAGTATATGCTGTACAAGCATCAGGACCTCATTTCAAATCCACTGTGCACATGGAAAAGCACCTATCTGTAACCCCAGTACTTAAGTTGTGGTAGAAACAGATTGCCTGAGTTAGCTGGCCAGGTAACCAAGACACATTTACAATGCCCAGGTTCACTGAGAGACCTATCATGAAATGAATGAATGAATGAATGAATGAATGAATGAATGAAAAATAAATAAATAAATAAATAGGTCAGGAAGATGGATCAGTGAGTAAAGGTACTCACTGCATAAGTCTGATGATCTGAGTTCAATGTCCAGAAACAATGCAAATATAAAAGGAAAGAGCCTACTCCACAAGCTTGATTCACTAGCATGTCCTGGCCTGTGTGCTCATACACACATCATGCTCACATATACAGAGAGCAAGAAAAGAAAATAGAAACAGAGAAATAAAATAGAGAGCATGTAGAAGACACCTGTCATTAACTTCCAGGCTCTACACACACCTGTACCCGTATGTGCACATACACTTATGTAGCCCCCCCATACACAGATAAATAACTTACAGTTAATTATAATAAAATGCCATAAACCTGTATGAATACTTCCTAAACAATATATAATATCAAAAAGAGGTTAATACATATGAATTGGAACAGTATTCTAAAAAATACATTTATAACACAAAAGTCAGAATGTGTTTATTATATTACTAACAGCAAAAGGAGTAGGAGATAACAGAAACTGCAATTATTTTAAGCACACTACAGACTTTATTACAACTATTATACTTAATGTGATGCATTTTATCTGACAAAAAAAATCTTGACTATAACCATTTATTTCAAAATAAGGTTAATTCTGTTTTTACCTGTTGAAAAACATCTGTTCCCTCATCATAGTCCACCATACCAAAAAACAGTTTGTTACAAAAAGCTGATGAATAGCGCCAGGAATTAGCCAGTATTTGATATTCTTCATTCGCTTGCCTGAAAAGGATAATGGGGTAAAACAGAAAGATTTTAGTACAATCTCATTAATACTGTATGAATTGAAAATTAAATAGTTGTAAAAATAAAAAGAACAACAAATATTTGTAATGTAAAAATTAGATAAATTACAACTTTACTGTTAATAAACAGTGTAACCAGAATACAGTCACACTAACCAGTATGTAGTCGTATAGACTACATACTATTAAATTCCTTCTACTTTTTAAACCAATCTAGAGTCAGGGTATGGATTTAATCATGTTTATAGCATAGAAAATAAATGCTTTTAAATGTGTCAACCTAACAGTATAATTAAGCATATGTGATAAGTCAAAGGAAAGTATAAGAGGTGATGAGGATGGCTGTGCTTACTAATTTTTATATCACAAATAAGATATTCAAGAAACAGTATCTACAGTTAATCAGGAAATACAATGATGTTATCTATATTACTAGTGTTCACCAATGAAGAAAAAAGGAGTAACTATCATAAGGGATAAAATGAGCTAAATCTTTACCTATCATATCAAGAAATTTAAGGATTAAGTTTACCATGTGAAATACTGTAGTAATATAAAATCATAACAAAAAAAAGGAGTAAAAGTGATGGTCTCCTGCCCACATGTCTGTGATTGGTGGGTGCCTAGCTTGTGACAGATGGTGATTAACACAGAAAGCCACAACTTGCCAAAATGTAGAGAATAAGAGACTGTGGAGTGTGTGTCCGTGGATCAGACTCCTGTATCAAACCTCAGTCATCCAAGGCTCAGGAATCATTGCAGAAAAGGGGGGCAGAAAGATTGTAAGAGCCAGAGGTGGTAGATGACCAAAATGGAACAGTTTTCCAGGCTTCTTGGATCTTGCTGCTATGAACTTACTGCAATGGTGACAGCATGTACAAGGCTCATGCAAAATCAAACCAGACAAAAACCACCATAGAACTGAGGAAATGAGTGAAAAGCCCCAACCTCAGCTGAGGAACTGTTGGCAGCTGATCACTGTTGGGTGAGAGAGATTTGGTCTTTAAGGAAGTGATGCTAGATAGGTTGACCAGGCTCCAGTGAATGAACTCACAGGGAGGGACATCTGGGGACACATACTGGACTCAAAAGGCCTTAAGATGACAGAATGAATGAAATCCAGTGGGGGGGTACTATGAGGAGGTAGAGAATGGGGAGGGGTTTAAATAAGATTAAAATGTATTGTATGAAATGCATAAAAAATACTATAAGGTTTTTTTTAAGTAGCAGTCTTCTGATAATAATATGTATAAAATGAAAATGTTTCAACACGAAATGAAATAAGCAGGAAAAATTGTATTTTATATTTCTCAACATCTGTGTATAGTATCTTACTAAATGGCCTAAGACAGAGATAATATTGAATGCTTCTCTCGTATTATCATGAACTGACCCAGACCTACTAGTCTATTCAGTATACATTCACACATCGTTAATCCCGTCCACAAATCCATATTACTACAAAACAATATGTGGCTATTTTTATTAATCTGTTTTGGTTAAAAGAAATAAATGATAGATACAAAGTCTATTACATCAAACAGCTTACATTTTATGGAGGAAAACGTCTCACGTAAACATAAGCTATCAGATAATTTTAAGTTCTATGAAGAAAATTCAAAAAGAAAGTTTGATGAAACTGATGAGTCAAGGTTGAATTCATTCTGCCTTTACATTCTCTACTCTATCTTTCTACTTTTCCAGATTCTTTTCTTAATATCCAATTTGTATATTCCATTTTGTATTCCAAAACTCTTAACAAGCCATTCCACAGAAGACCTCCATATCACAGACATAACTATATCACTGGTATTATAAACATAACACATTCAAAATCTATTTCTGAAAATTCCACGGTCACTCTTAGAACATGCACTAAATATTTTTATTAGAATGCCGTCCCTTCCTTCAAAAGCTAGTGCAAAGTCTTCCACTTTTTGGAAAGGAATTTCAATGTTTAGAGTACTTGTTGATGTCTGAAACAGTTAATTCTCAACTAAGGTGTAGTATTATTTATCTCTCAAACACAATCTGTTCTATTTGTAAATATTGATTGTCCAGAAGAACCTAGTACTTCTATCAAGTTTTCCTAATAATAATAATAAATAATACACTTCCCTTCCCATTTAATAATGCCATTAAAACTGAATTTACTGCATTAGAAATTCTAAATTCTAGAATGTGAATACAAAGCTGCTTAGATTTATTTCACTCTATTTAGGGCTTTCAGCAGGAGAAACATTAAACTTTTTATTTATCCCACTTATAAAAATAATAACTGTTCTCTTAAGTTGCACTGCAATGATAATTTGGCTCATTTTTATTAATATAAAACACAACTATACAGCAACTGGCAAAGGGACAATGTGACAACATACCCAGAGACACCATGGCCCAAACAGTTTTGTTACAGATGAACTCCAAGTTGTTCCTTCTTAAATTGAGCAAACCACCAACAAGCGACACTAACAGAGCCAAATCAATGTTTGTGACCTGGCAAAAGTCTACTGTTTATGATTCTAAACATTATAATAAGGAAATCATCAAGTGATACTATGTTTATAACATCAATTTGACATGAAAATGTGGAACTTTTAAAATATATACTGCAGTAACAAGGAAACACAGCTTACATTGTCTACCTTTAAGAGGCTCCTTAAATGAAAAGATATTCACTGTAATATACAAATAAGAAACACACTTTTAATCACAGCTTGTACCTACATACATAGAAGGATGGGAGACATCAGACAGGAGCCAAGGGTAAACGTGAAAATTACTGGAAAAAAACAAGTTTGTCTAAAAGACCAAATTGTAACGAGCAGGATAAAACATAAAAAGAACAGTAAGGTTACAGAAAGACTACTCTCTGAAATTTTTTCCATGTTTTCAACAGAATACAGCTTCATATGAGAAAATAAAGACTAAAAGATAAATAAGACCATGACTTCATCCAATAAGCAGTGAAACACTTCAAGTGTTTTTGAAAGAAGATTATGTACTGTTTCTGAGAACCATTTGTCTGAGGAAGGAGAAGAGTGAGGTGATTATGACATAGGTCTGAAGTCCAGGTGACATGCCATCGTAATAGCCTCACTGGTAAATTGTAAATTGTTAAAATACTATATAACGATGTATCTATTTTGCATATACTCTCCTTTGGACTCAAGAGGGTCAAAGATTCCAGCAAAAATTTCTAAATACTCCTGTGATGATTGGTATATGTTACTGACATGACAAAGTAGAATCACCAGGGAAGGCATCTCAATGAGGATTGTCTAGATTCAGTTGGCCTACAGACATGCCCATGAGGAGTTGTCTTAATGGGATTCATTGACATAGGAAGGCCCACTCTGAATGTGGGCAGCATCCTTTCATGGCGTGGGTCTTGGACAAAATGAAAAGAAGAGGAGTAAGCTCAATACGGACATGTATATGCGCAGTAATCCATTATCTATGCTTTGGACATGGATACAATGTGGAAAGCTGGTTTAAGATCCTGCTACCTTGAAATCCCTGCAGTGATGGATTATAAACTCAAGGTGTGAGTCAAATAAACCATTTCTCCCTTAAGTTATTTTTTTTGGGGGGGGTTGTTTTGGTCAAGGTATGTTATCACAGCAGCAGGAAAAGAAACTAAGACAAGTCCATTTAGGAATATCTCTAGCTTGAATAAAAGATTCCACAAGAGCAAAGGAAAATTAACTATTCAACCCAAACAAAACCTAAAGAAAATACTGGCAAACAAATGGGAGCTTTCTTCTGTTGGGGGTAAATGAATAACAACATGATCAATGAACAAATTTGTCTTCCTTAAAACTATGTTTAAGAAATATATACTATTGATGATATCCATTCAAAATACACATTATTCATCACAAATAAATGTGTCCCATAATGAATGATAAAACCCGATTTTCTGTTCTTATCCCATTATACCATGTTCCCCACGATATTCTAACCTTTTGACAGGGAAGAGAAACCTAGCAAAAAGGAACAATGAGATCTGGTGGACTCTTGAATGTTCTTTGTCAGTTTGGAAGACTGACTATACACAAATATCACTAGTGCTTATTCACACACTTCACACCTCAATGCTACTTGAAATTGAAAGTGAAAACCACAAATGCTTCAAGCACACAAATCAAATAACTGCATCATCAACACTATTTTCTGTTGTAGATTGATGGGCTCATGAATTCTCTAGCCTATGAACTGAGGAAACACAGTTTTTTTCTAATATATTCATATAGAGCCTGAAGAGGGCAGTCAAGCTGCATCAACTGCTCTAGGAGTGCTTGAGCAGTAACTGCAGGGCACCATTCTGTTAAATCTCTTCTATTAAATCTTCTCCACTTTTTATTAGAGACCAAGAAAAAAAATCACATAATGTAAATGCTATAAATTTTTTACATTATACATCTTTTTAAAAGGTTATATAAAAACTAAAAAGGGTTATTAACTCATCTACAGTTCCATATATTTAATATATTTCTGAGGATGAATGTAATGTTTTTATCTTTAAAGCTCTGTAAGGGATGTTTTTGAAAATACAGTTTCTCTTCTTAATATTATTCAGATTTCCTGTTAGATAATAGATTGGTATAAAACTAGTATAAGCCTTTATAGTCATGCATTTATGATGAATTACAAAAACATATATATTACATAGTTATTTCAAAATATGTCTTCATGAAACCTCAAATAATTTCAATATTGAAAGTGAATACATATTTTTGAAGAAATATGTGAGAAGAAAAAAAAAATCCCTAAATAAACAGCATCTTGTACAAAGATTTTAACAGTGTGTTTTCTGGTTGTGCTAAGCTGGTTGGTTTCTTAGTGAAACTTTTCCTCACTGTAAGGATTACTGGACACAAATAGTTTAGAAAACATTTATTACTCTGGTTAGTTTCCCAGGATTTAGTTCATGAGAGGCTACTTACATGTCAGAGAGACACATAAGAGCATGTGTCC